CCTCTGACCCTCCCCCCTCTCATGCTCTCTCTATCTCATTCTCTCTCTCAAATAAATAAATAAAATCTTAAAAAAAAAAGGTATGTTTCTTGTAGGCAGCATATGGTCTTGCTTTTTTTTTTTAATCAATATGACAATTTCTACCTTTTAGTTGGGGTGTTTAGATCATTTATATGTTTATATATTTAAGTATTTGTATTTAATTCAAGTCTACCATCTTGCTTTTAGTTTTTTATTTGTCCCATCTATTCTTCGCACTGTTTTTCTTTTCCTGACTCCTTTTGGATTATTTAAGTATTTTTTAAGAACCTTGTTTTATCTCCATTATTGACTTATTAACTGTATCTCTTTGTGATTATGCTAGGGTTTGCCATATATAGGTTTCATTTCATGTATCATGTTAGAACCTTACAACGATATACTTATATTTCTCCCCCCATGTCTGTTAGCTTTTGTTGTCATACATTTGACTTTTATTGTTATTATGAACTCTACAATATACTGATTATTTTGCCTTAAACAATCTTTGAAAGACTGTGAAAATGAGCAAAAAATGTCTTTTATGTTTACCTGCATATTTAACATCATTAGCACTTTTCATTCCTTTGTGTAGATTAAAATCTACAACTGGTTTTTTTTGGCCTGAAGAACTTCCTCTAATAGGTCTTGTATTGCAGATCATCTGACAAGGAATCTTGTAAATTTTGTTTATCTGAAAAATACTTTATTTTGCCTTCATTTTTTTTTTTTTGAAAGGTATTTTGGCTGGGTATAGAATTACAGGTTAACAGTTTTTTTCTGTCAGTACTTAAAGATGTTGCTTTGGTATATTCTGCCTTGTGTAATTTATGATGAGAAGTCTGCTTTTAACTCTGTTCCTCTGTATGTAATATGTTTTGCTTTGGTTTGGTTTTTTTGGTGTGTGTGGCTACTCTAAATATTTCCTCTTAAGCATTGGTGTTCATCAATTTGATTATGATGTGCATGGTTTTCTTTTTGTTATTTATTCAGATTTTTTCACTTTTCCCTATTTTCTGGGACTCCAATTACACATTTATGTTGGACTACTTGATAATGTCACTGACACCTTGTTCATTTTTTTTTTTTAATATTTTCTCTCTGGTGCTTTATTTTGGATAGATTCTATTGCTATGTTTTCAAGTTCTCTCTCTCATATGTAGTATCTAGCCTGCTGTAAATACTATCCTATGTATTTTTCATTTCAATTAGATTTGGGTACCAACCTAACAATATCAAATCTCTGATTGCCTCTGGAATAAACCTTAGGAACCCTGACCTTTGTCTTCCACAGTGGTCATCTCCATCAGAGGCAACTGAGAGTTTCATATCAAAGGAAATTTGGTTTGCACCTCCACAATTCTATGAAATAAGAAGACTGGGAAACTTTGCCTCTCTCTCTGACTTGCACAAATTTTGTTTGGACGGTGCATCAGAAGGAATGGAAAGATGGCTGCCGATCACATTTTTAACTGCTGATGCAGTGCTCCAGCTTTTACCAGGTAAGTCAGTGAAGCATCAGTGCTTTTTCACATTTAGTATTCACATTCAATGCACGGGGCTGTATGGCAGTATTGCCCAACACAGAGACATGAATTATCATCTGTTTTACACAATACAGCAGTTTATTGAGTAAGGTCTAATTCTATAAAATATCCATAGTGTTTATTATAACCAAAAGTTCTGATAATTCACCTTATACACACACACATACATTTATGTAAGTGTTTCCCAGACATTGACAAAGTTCTTATATATTATCTCACTTTTTTACATTTTAATCTTGAATCATGAGAATAAACTATGAAGTTGAGAACTTCTGTCTTCAAGTACACTTTATTAAGAACTGGATTTGTGAGCAATTGTCAATTTATTTGAATTGGGGAGTTTGTTGGTAGTCGATTGTTGGGCAAGTGCCAGGCGGGGGTTTTTATGGCAGTTTAGAGCAGGGCTTTGTGACCTGTCTCCTGGCTCCTTGGCTCAGTTCTCAGAATAGCGATGATATTTGTTCCTCATCTTACAGTGGGATAGTTTAGTGCTTTTGATGTGTAAAGGTAATTTCTGTAATTTAACCTTAAAATTGTTAGAACAGCCCACATTGAAACCCAAAAATATATGGATATCAAGGCCAATATTAATATTGACTAGGAAAAAGCGAGTCATGGGCCAGTCTAAAACTGATAGGTCGTGATGAAAAAATACCAGTCATAAATATTTATGTGCCCAAAGAAAATTCTTGGCTGGGGAATGGGGGGGTGGGGGATGTGGGTATTAAAAACACAAGAAAGAAATTTAGGTAAGCTCATAAAATTAGAGTTACTTAACACCTATCTCAGTTCCAAACACAACATAGATGAAAATAAATACCAATGTGTATGTCACTAACGTATTGGAATGTTTTATAAAATAACACTGTGGAATCAAAATATTTTTCAGGAGATGAGCTGTACTTAGAAGATTCAGAATTTTTAGAAAATGTTATGTCCTCTGAAAAAAAGACCGAAGAAATCATGAAGGAAGGCAAGACATTTCACCGACTAGTGTTACACAGCCACCATGTGTATAATCTCCACGTGACTATCCATTCGAAGTATAAGCAGGTTTATCCTAAGACCTATGTGATAAGTAAGAGCCATTTGTAGAGTACTGCTTATTTGTACTTGGTTGACTGCTTGAAGTTGTCCTGTGGAATACTGAGGGTTGACGAGACTTGCTTGGAGCGTAAGGACCTGCCCAGAAGTTATAGTACAGTCTTTCATGTTTCAAGTGCATTGGAGCACTTCCTTGCTTATTTCATTCTTCAAACCTTACAATATTCCACAAGTATCAATAAAGTGCTAATGATCTTGCTCCCAGATTGAGGAAAAAACCTTTCACAAGGGTTTCCGCTTCTGTATCATTTTATTATCAGAAGTTTAAATAAGATGTCCGGTATATTAGCACTTCCCTTGATGTGTTTAGGAGATGGATCCATGACCCCCTTAGATTTGCTGCTGGAATTAGTTGAAGGGTGTCTGATTACACAGGGGACAGTACACTGAGCTGACCTTCAAGTGACAGGGTCATTATTTTCTTGTATGTCTTTAGCTTGATGATTAACCTTCAATTCTGTTTACTACCAAATGGCCTTAGTTATTAGGTTTACCAAATGGGAAACCTATTTTAAAGAAATATGAAGCCATCACAGAAGCCATAATTATTTTTACTCTGGAGCAGTAGCTAATGAATACAAAGAGATTAAAGATCTGTAGAACTAGTCATCATTCAGTGGCATTTTATTAATGGTGCTTATTTTCAATATTTTTAATATGGGTAATTTTTTCATGTTCTCTCTTAAGAGGAATACGGTTTTGATTAAAGATGGGAAATGACTAAGACATCAATTCTGTTGCAGATCCTTGACGATATTATGCATCATACAATGAAATTTTATTTTTCATGAAATGTCTTAGTTTTCCTACCTGTAAAATAGAGGTATTGATGAATAAGGTATATGTGTATTACTTGATCTTGGCTAGAGGAATACATCTAGATTAGTGGTTCTCCACTCAGGGCACTTTTGCCCCTCAGGAGACATTTGGCAGTGTCTGGAAACATTTTTGGTTGTGAGAGTGAGATGCTTCTACCACCTAGTAGGGAGAGGCCAGGGATGTGGTTAAATAGCCTACAATGAATAGGACAGCTCTCCACAATAATTATCTGGTCAAGGTTGAGAAACTCTGATCTAAAGTAAAATCTGTTTTCTTCAGTGAATGGTTCCAATATGTAAATTTTGAGAACCATATACTGTTAGCATTCCCTCTGGCTTCTGGACCTACAGAAGTTCTCCTTACTGATTTTTGGCTTTGGGCATAATACTCTTTCATTCTCAGAGAAAACAGAATGTTTTCGCTGGAAGAGAACTCACTGAACACCTTTCTTTTGCCAGTTAGAAAACTGAGAAACAGATTCACACAGCTTGTTAGTGCCATAACTAAGTAGAACCTGATGCTTTGTCAAGCAGGTGACATCTGTTATCTACCACCAAAAGCAGAAATGGTAACAACTCTGCCCACTGCGCCTTGGTATCATAGTCACCAAGTAAAGCACAGCACAGCCAAGTATTGGATGGAATAATGCTGTATTCACATAGAGAAGAGGCAGAGCAGAATCCACTCCAGTAGTTCATGTCAGGCCCCCACGGCCCGCAGGTATTCCCTCTGCAGCTGAAAGAAGGCATTTGGCCTGCAAACACCCCTCTTGTGCTACAGAAGGACCCCATCTTCTCCTGCAGTGGGCAAATACAGTCGTGGGATTGGCCAGGGTCCTATGACACACGTGCTTACGCAGAGCAAAGGAGGACAACATTGAGTCTGAGACAGGGAAACACATCCCACACGAGGCGATGAGGCCAGCACAGGCTGTGAGGACTCTTTCTGTTGGTAGGGGAGTGTTCCAGGCTCACTTAGGTGTCTGGGAGAGAGTCAGAAAACTGCATGGTACCGCCTTTCCCAACCCTCCTAGCCCTGCACCCTTTTTGCTGGAGTTACGTAATTCAGTGGGTGATTTTAGGAGACGTGACAAAGTAATGTGACGTAGTTTTCTTCGTAACGATGTATTTTTGTCTCTTTCTCATCTGAATGAAACCTTGTCTCCTTCCAAGAATTCCTTTTGGAAGACTGTCCCATGACTTCCTACCTGTCGTGATACCCTAAGGCCCCAACACAAAATAATAGGGCCGTCCTCATGAGCCAAAAAAGAGTGTTTTAGAGCCCAGCTTGTGAGAGTTTGTGGCATTTACCATATGCTCTTTCTTACCTCATGTATTCAAGCCACCTAGGCCTCAGATGCAGAAGCAGGAAGCTGATCACGTGTCCCTACTCCTCCTCCTTTTAGATCCCTTCCTCCCATGCTGGCATCCCTACTCCATGCCATCTCATCCACCACAGAGCCAGGAAAACTCATTTTCTATGATATTCTACAGTCTCTTGAAACCAAAGTCACAAACTCAGGAATAAATACAAAGTCAGTATTCATTTCCATTACCTACCTTCTTTTGCTGATTCCTTTGAATGACTTCCACGAGAATCCAAAACTGGGCAGGCATCAGCATTTCAGGTTAACATGTCTCGTCCTCACAGTTCTTTGTTAATAAAAATAAGAGTGCCCGGGGCGCCTGGGTGGCTCAGTTGGTTAAGCGGCTGCCTTCGGCTCAGGTCATGATCCTGGAGTCCTGGGATCGAGCCCCGTGTCCGGCTCCCTGCTCAGTGGAGAGCCTGCTTCTCCCTCTCCCTCTGCCTGCCACTCTGCCTACTTGTGTTCTCTTTCTCTCTCTGTCAAATAAATAAATAAAATCTTAAAAAAATAAAATAAAAATAAGAGTGCCCTATACTGTGGGAGACAAAAAGGGCTCAGATATAAGAGGACTTCTCTTCCGAGGGATTTTGGGGTGGGGGAGCCCTCACATTTGGGCATATGTAGTTATTTACTGTCTCTTCTCAAACCTCTATTTTGTTTTTAACTTCTCTGCAACTGTTGGCAGTTTTCCACTCCTCCTTCCTCCTCTTTAACCACTCGTCCTCTCTCTAACTTCTCCTCCAACTGACCCTTAGCTCCTAGAGCCTCTCAGTACCTGTTCTGAGACCCTCTTCTGTCCTTGGGTGAGGTAAGCAACTTCCAGGTCACATCC